TTTTTTTTCTCACGCAGATCATCGTGTTAATGTAAAACATCATATATCAATAAAAATAATCAGCTCACTTCCTTCTTCAATGTTAGTTTTCAAAAAAACAACTCTTGCCAGATAGAGTTGTTATTTCTTTTATAAATATGAAACTGTTTGAGACAACATTTAGTGTAATTATTAGTTAATAAACATTGAAAATCAGCGCTATCCAAAGGATATACAACGTTTCCTTACAGAGAAAAAAAATGACGTGAAAATATTCTACTATACACAAGATTCTTCTAAATGAATTGAGAATTAGACAATATTTATGGTTAGAAATGGATTTTGATTTGATTCTATCGTATACAATAATTATCCCACAGAATAGATAAATGATTATGATATTCATTGATTTACTTACAAATCGAAATTGAACATTTAAAAAAATAAAAATGATTAGTATTTGATCTTTATTTAGTTATAATCTACTAGATATGACTAGTCAATAGAGAGAGAGCTATAACTATGATTCTAATTACAATCACAGTCATACAAATTGCGTAGATTCTTTAAATAATTACATTTAGATGTGACTGTTGGCGATTGTGGATGTTATATTCCATACTATGAAAAGCTATTTACATTCTTTTAATCACTTTTCTCATTGGAGAAACAAAATTTCACATTTGTTTCTTAATTTGTGATTGAATATTTATCTAGAGAAAGTGAACATAAAGGAAACAGCAGTTATATCACTCGGCAAGCCTTTTATAATATCATCAAACCTTGAAGTCCACTATTTTGTCTTATCCTGATATCAATTCATCATTATTTTCATTTCTTCCCATACATCATCAAAATATTTTATACTCTTCTTAATCTATTACTAAAGTATTTTATCGATAATAGTTTGATAATTAACAACGTAGTTATAGCTTAATTCTATAGACTTTGAAATGAATGAATAATAATAAAATACATTTTTTTCTCTCAGGAAACTTTACATTTCCTTCAAAAGTGCTGATTTTTAATGTTTTTCTTTTTCTAGAAATAATCCTATTAACTGTTATTAGGACTGGTTTACATCACATGATATCTCGTAGAGTTTGATATTTACAATAAATATAACATTTTATTCTAGATTCATCTGGAACAAGAACGTGTTGATCGTATTGTTTTCATCAACATATGATGTTTTTTCATAAATATTTTATATCAAGACGATTATATACAGTGAGCACCAAGATTATTCACTAATTACTACCTCTATTTTAAATAAAACAAATACATAAAAAATAAAGTGAAAGACATCATTTGAGAATCCTTTTTTCGCGGTATTGAATAATTTAAAGAATATTGAATATAGTTGATGATTTCAGTAAATATAATGAGAAAACTACGAAATAAATAAAACTGACAAAAATTTCATTTGATTTCTAATGATTAATAATATTATGAAAAAATGATCTTCTTATCTGTTATTGATATATATCTGCTATCGAATGGAACAAAAACAAGTTATTTCTTTTTAGTTACATTCTTCAACCATTAACTGTGAAAATTAACTTGAGTCATAGAAAAACTCTTCTCCATATTTTGCTGAAAACTGAACAAGAGAAAAACAAAAAATTTAGTTTTTTCTCCATTCGCCTATCTAATGACGTCATTGGAAATTTCTCTTTTTTTTGAATATTTGCAACAAATACAACATTTGAATTTCACAACTAATAAAAACAATAAATCTGTTTCCTTTTACAAAACTAATATGAAATGTCAGGCATTATTTGTTGTAAATATAAAGAATGTTCATGATACTGAAATTTTGTATGAAGGATGTAAAAACAAAGTGTTTCCAACAAAATCTAATGTTATTCTTGTTAAGAATACATCGCAAATCATGTCTTTACGAAGGAAATACAACGCTTCCTAAACAATAAAATAGAAGTTTTTTGACAACAAAATATTTTTGTTATTTTATATTCCGTCGATATTGTCTGTTATCAAAAGTATATTGCGCAATTGCTTTTGTTTTTATTTTCATAGATTAGACATATGATAAGAGAAGTGCGATTGTTGATCTTCCGAATGAATCTTCATCGAAACACATCAAATCTATGAAAAATGAATAGATAAACAAAATAATTAGAATTGTACAGAATCATGTCACATTCAATAAAATCAACTGAAGTCATAATTTTATTATTCTTTGAAATTGTTTATCATGAAGAATAATTATGGTCATATCAACATAGTTCTAAGTAAAAATAATGTATCAATCATTTCTTTTGTACATCTTAGAAATAGCAAACATTTCAGAGAAGAAAAATAAAAACAAAGAGGTATCTTGAGAGTCTGGACGAGATATGGCAATAACACACACAATCAAGATGAATCATGAGTGTATTTATTTTCAACTACATAAAAATTAATCCAAAAAGTTTCGGTTCTTTTTTCTAATGATTCGTAGATAGAAAAATGGTCATACATTGTCATTTAACTTCTAATAAATAATCATGCATAGATGACAAAGAGTATACATTGTATAAACAAATGAATTCTATATTTATTTTTTTTAAAGTATTGTAATGTACATAGAAATTTTTAATAATTATTTCTTAAAATCTGGGATTGGTGACATTCGATTGACCACCTTTTATATGCTTTGGAAATTTTTTAAGAGTAATACACTATATTTGCATTAAATGGCATGCCATGAAAATAAATATAGAAAATATTAAAGTTATATATATATATATTGGAAGAGTCTGACCTTCCACGATCGCGATATATCTGTTGTTAAATGAACGAGCTGTCCATATTGAATGCAAGTAATAACTCCTGCTGATGGTCTACACAATACCAATGAATCTACCATTGTACTCTGATGGGAAACTAAACAAAATAGAGAAAAAAAACATTGATTTGAATTTTCTAGTTATGAAGAAAAGAATTGCTATCTTAGTTACTTACAACGTAGAAATAACTGCTCATGACCCAGCTACAATCATCGAATAATTAATGTAGTTAAAAACTAATGCTGGAATGATAATGGTAGATTTAACAAACATACAAATAATACATGTTATTATATTCAAAATCCATGCGCATGTTTGAAAAATTGAAGCATTCAATAGTTTTTGTTTTGAATCTAAATCGAATTATGTTAATAGTTATGTAAAATATTTATTTGTAAGCGTTAACACATACTCTGTTCTGCTCCAAATGCAAGTAGAAAATCAACAATTGGACAAAGAATTATTTGAAATAAGGATGTCATATTGAATGCAAATGTATATCTATCTCCTAAAAAAAATTTATTTTAATATACTAATAAATATATTGTAAAATTATTTTCTTTGTTATCTTTTGTGTGAATTATAATTAAATAATTATATGTAATAATTTTATATCATACTAAATCGTGCAGACAATACGATCATACTACTTCATATCAAATGATCTTAATCAAAATGCTCTTAGATAGTTTAATCGACTGTTTTTCATTGATAAATATTGAAAAATAAATAATCAAAAAAAAAGACTTATAGTTTAGTAATATTTGATTCAAATCTCAGATACTCAGGTTTTATTGATTCGAAAATTTTAATTGATTAGTTTGTCTCATAAGAGTCATTACATATCACCTACTGGTATCATGTTCATATGTTTTGATTTTGTATCGTGTGTTTATATCCAAGATTCAATATTGGAAATTTCCAATCAAGAAATAAAAATTATGAGATAAACATCAATATTCTGAATCACATCCAAGTATAAGATAATTGAAATAATGTTAATTTACTATTATCAATTAAAATCTATATAATTTTTATATGGAATATAATCATGCTTTAATACGAAATTTACTTGAAAACGGAATACCAGATCGATGCTGATACACTTGAATCAATAAGTAAAGTTAAAAAAAGTGTACGTCCGTCAGAAAAATGATCAGATGTTACACAACTACGTCTTTGTACAGTGATACCAGATAGTGCTGTAAACAATGTGTGAACAAATAAAAGAGAATCTTGATGTAAAAAAGAATAAATAAAATTAGTGAAAAATGTTTCTTTTTGTTTGTTTGCGGAACTTATCAGATTTAACAAGAGCCAATGCTAGCCATTCGATAATATGAAATACTCCAGATAGAATGTTAAAAAACGAATATAATAGAATAGAAGAATTACATTGTGATTAATTTAATAAAACGACTATCAAATATATCAATCAATATACCAACGAATATCGATCGTAAGTTAAAAAATATTATGCCTAAAGTCAATGTATTCTGTGATGCAAACTTTTAAAATAAAGAAAATTTAAAGTATTTGTAAAAGGTTTTACTTGATATTGTTGCGCTTGACCACTGTAGTCGGATTCATTGCATTTGATGATTGACAATATCTACTATAGACACCATATTTTGGTAGTACTTTAAAAAGTGCTGCAAATCCAAAAATATTTGCACTGACAAGGTTGACTTGAATCAGAAGCCAGATAATATCAATCCATTTTCGCCATGGATTTACATTACTTGAGTTCATCTATTGAGGGAATACATAGAAGTTAATATACGATAAATATTTTCAAATAAACTATTACAGATCGTTATTTAAATAAGGATATATTTTATCAGATGGAATACAACGAAAATAATTTCCTATATTATTCAATACTCTCAGTTTGCATTAATCAACGTATAAAATATCTGTTTAAAACATTTAGAGAACATGCTTAATCATTAATCTTTTTTTCAAGACGGGTAAAAAATCAACAAAATCATGATGTTTGACATTTACTTGAAAATATTTTTCGACCTAACGTGTGCTGATAACAGTGAATTGTAAAGTCAAATTTTTATCTTGTAGTGTGGACTCTGAGAATCTTGAAGATTTGTTTTTTCTATAGATGAGTGATATGCTAATCATTTTCGTATGCAGAACTGTAATGAGATAGATAAAAATAAACTAAAAGTTTTGAGAAAGGAAAGCTTGAAAAATTAATACGAGTTGGAATCACTTTCATCCTACCAACAGAGTTACCATTAGATATTAAAATCTTATACAGTCCTCTAGTCAACAGCGTTTATAAAGTTTTAGGGTGTGGGTGTGGGTGTGGGTGTGGGTGTGGGTGTGGGTGTGTGTGTCGATATTTCTTTTTCTCCCATACCTACACCAATATTATCACCCACACCCACACCCATTGATTATTTTTCCTTCGAAGCAAATATTATGAAACAAAAGCGTAATGAAATAAAATTTGAAGAATCTAAAATTAGATAAGAAATCTTTCGTTAGGATAATTATATTTTAATATTGTTTTGTGTTTATCTCAATAAAACTAATCAGTATATTAAATACTTTTATGATTCTATTCACACATGATATGTTATCATTTCATCACAAATATTTTACCTGATAAAATATACTGAATGTTTCATTTGAATAGACAGAAATTGGAATAATTAAGAGAAAGAATAAATGTGGATAACATTCAATTTGTTTTCAGATTTTACAGAATTTTCTTGGATTATTATATGACAAAATTTTGTTTCTAGAAAAATAGATCTCTAAAAGTATTTATTTGAATTTGATAGAATAAATTAATTCTTCTTCAATAGTTTAATTCTTCATCATAATAAAATATTTTAACTTCATCGATTGAATACTTATCGAACGATAGAATATGCCGTTTTTTTAAAGAAAGTATTCAACATTTCACAATGTCGGTCTCATATGTATCTGACAGTCTCACTATGATGTTTTCTTCTTTGTTCTCGTGCACATCCCAATATAGAACAAAAGAAATGATTGATACACTATTTTTACTTAGAACTATGTTGATATGACCATAATTATTCACCATGATAAACAATTTCAAAGGATAATAAAATTATGACTTCACTTGATTTTATTGAATGTGACATTACTCTGTACAATTTTAACTATTTTGTTTGTCTATTCATTTTCCATAGATTTGATAGTGTTTCGATGATATTCATATTATTAAATGATATTTCATGAAGATTTATTCGGAAGATCAGCAACTACACTTTTATTATCATTTACTAAATCTATGAAACTAAAGAATAAAATCAATTGTGCAATACATTCTTGATAACAGATATTGTCGATATATTTTCTCTTTCAACTAAATATAAAATAATAAAAACATTTTGTTGTCAAAAACCTTTCATTTTATTGTTTAGGAAGTGTTGTATTTCCTTCGTAAAGACATGATTTTCGATGTATTATTAACAAGAATAACATTAGATTTTGTCTGAAACACTTTGCTTCTACATCCTTCCTACAAACATTTCAATATCATGAACATTTTTTTATATTTACAACAAATAATCCCTGACATTTCATATTAGTTTTGCAAAAGGAAACAGATTTATTGTTTTTATTAGTTGTGAAATTCAAATGTTGTATTTGCTGCAAATATTTCAAAAAAGAAAGCAAATTCTTATTGACGTCATTAGGTAGGCGAATACAGAAAAAAAATAAACTTCTTGTTCAGTTTTCAGCAAAATATCGAGAAGAGTTTTTTTTATCATTCAAGTGAATTATTGGAGAATGTAGCTAAAAAGAAACAAATTGTTTTTATTCAATATTAATCATTAGAAATTAAATTAAATTCTTCTCGTTTTTATTTGTTTCATAGTATTGCACATCAAGAAATGGATTCTCAAATGATACTTTTCACTTAATTTTTATGTATTTGTTTGATTTAAAATAAAAATAATAATGAGTGAATTGTTCTGATACTTACTGTATACAAGCGTTTTTATGTAAAATATTTATGATAAAACATCATATGTCGATGAAAACAACAAGATCACTTTCTTTTTTCAGATCAATTTTGAATAAAATATAGTCTGTTGTAAATGTCGAAATCTACGAAGTAGCATGTGAAACTAAACTAGTTGAGACAAGAGTTAATTTCTATAGAAAAAAATTTGAAAATCAGCACTATGTGAAGGAAATGCAAAGTTTTCTGAGAGAAAACAATGTATTTTATTATTTTTCATTCATATAAAAGTCTATAGAGTTAAGCTGAAACTACATTTTTATTTATCAAATTATTGTCGATAAAATAATTTAGTAATAGATTCAGATGAGTATAAAATATATTGATGAGAGTGAGGATGAATTAACATCAGGATAAGAGTAATACACTCATCTGTCAAATTATCATTCTGATATTCATTTTAAAAAAAAGAACGGATTTTATGATATTATACAAGACTTGACGAGTGATATAACTGCTGTTTCCTTTCTTTTCACTTCCTCTACATAAATGTTCAATCACAAATTAAGAAACAAATCTGAATTTTTTTGTTTCCCCAATGAAAAAAATGATTCAAAGAACATAAATAGCTTTTCACAGTGTAAAGAGTATTGAGAGATAAATATAATATCCACAATCACCGCGACAGTCACATCTAAATGTAATGATTCAAAGAATCTACGTATTTTATATGACTATGATTGTAATTAAAAGCATGATTAAAGTTCTCTTTATTGATTAGTCATATCTAGTAGACTATAACTGAGCGAGGATCAAGTATTAATTATTTTTGTTTTCTTGAATATTCTATTTCGACTTCCAATTAAATCATTTATCTATTCTGTGAAATAATTACTGTATATGATAAAATCAAATTAAAATCCATTTCTAACCATAAATATTGTCTAATTCTCAATTATTTTAGAAAAATCTTTGTGTATAGTAGATTATTTTAACGTCACTTTTTTTTCTCTGTAAGGAAATGTTGCATATCCTTTGAACAGCGCTGATTTTTCAATGTTTTATCAACTAATAATTACACTAAATGTTGTCTCAAACAGTTTCATATTTATAAAAGAGATAACAACTCTATCTGTCAAGAGTTGTTTTTTTTGAAAATCAACATTGAAACAGAGGAAGTGAGCTGATTGTTTTTATTGATATATGATGTTTTACATTAACATGATAATCTTCGTCACAAGAGAACTGATTATTTAAGAAAGAAAAAGAGAAAGAGAGGGAATGATAAATTTTTTTTTGTATTATTTTAACAATTTTCTAGTTGAAATTGGAATGAAAAGCTTTTAAGTGTAGTCGGTAAGGAATATTAGATACTACTTGAAATATAGATCTCAACAATTAACGAGAAACACAAATGATTTTTTTGTGAAAAGATATTCAAATAAATAGTTTAGCTTCTTTGTAATTATATTATTAATGACTGAAATTTCTTTTTTTTGTTAATTTTAGATTGTAAAAGTATTAAATTATCCACAAGATATCAACAATGTTCAACAACAACAGAATTGGAGTTGATAATGATGTAATTTATTGAGAAAAAGAAAAATCATAAAATATAATATTTGTTGTTTTTTTGTTTATTTTAGTCTGTAACAGTTACTTCGAATGCAACGCAACCAAAAAAATTGTATGTGTGTTATGAATTGTAGACAATAATAAAAAAGATTTATTATTCTAGATGTGAATATTTGAAAAGAAATGTGATGTGCATCACATTTATTATTATTGTACTTGTTATAATTATAACAATTTCAATTTTTTTCTGCAAAATAAAAAAGACCAACAGTGAACAACCATCAACAGCAGAAGAAATAACAATTGAAACAACAGAAAAAACAACAAATGAAATAACAGAAAAAATGGAAATAACAACAGGTAGTTAAAATGAGATAATTATTTATTTTGAAGTTAATATACGATAAATTATTTCAAATGATCGAAGTAGAACTTCATTGTTTATCATAACTAGAGATGTACCGAGCCCGAGGCTCTCGGGCTCGGTCAGGCTTGGGCTCCGGTGTCAGAATTTATGTGGGAGTGGGCGGGTATGAGTGAGAGTGTAAGTGAGAATGTGGATGAGAGTGTGGGTGAAAATGTGGGTGAAAATAGTGAGTGAGAATAAAAAGGATAGTACCCGCACTCACACCCACTCACTGCCACATCAATTCTAACATCCGAGCCCTAACAGAGCCCCGAGCCCGAGACGCTCAGTCAGAGGTCAGGCTCGGTACATTCCTAATCATAATAGCTTATACATGATACTTCTAAGCAACAATATCAAAAATTGTTCTGAGATTCATAATGGAATTTTTAGAATATGAAAGAATATTTACTAAGAATAAGTCTCTGAGAAAGTCAGATGTGAGTGATAATTCGACATCTCGGATTTCACTTAATATTGTTTGTATGTTATAGATAGTTGTACCGTTAGTATTAACTGAGATTTCCAGCTCGATTGGATTACTCCTTCCTACATGAATAAAGATAATATAAGCGGAATTTTCGATATTTGTTTGTGATTGATAGATTTGCTTTCTGTCCATCACATCCTCACACAAACTATCAAAATTTATATAGTCTACAGAACATTCCATGTGAACAAGAAATACAATTAGTTTGTGTAGTTATTACTGTTTATTATCGTACAGAAATGAAAATCTACAAAGTTTTCTCATCATATGCCTTATTTAGTAATTTCAATTATTTCTGAGAGATATCGAGTTTCCTAATAAATTAAATTAAAGAAAAAAATATCTCACTAAACCCATCGTCCGGAAGCAAACCTTTTTGAGTCGAACTGATTGTTTCGAGGCTTATTTTTCGAATTCTATACTTTGAAAATATACTAGTAAACGAAATCTCTATGGGATTTGAATTGGCTCTATTCAAACTAAAGAATCAATACTTGCAAAAATAACAAAAAAAAATACAGAGAATTATTCGATGAAATAAAATTGGCATCGATGTCTTCCAAAAAAAATTTGATCGATATTGTGTATAAATTTGCAGCGCATTGTCTAAGATCTTAGACAATAAATAAGAAATAATAAGAAAATACAATATGTTTTTTTATGGAGATGATAATCAAAGATAGTTTGAAAAAAGAAATGAAGCTATTCTGGCAGCTTTGATCACAACTCAATGGCCTCATCTTGAAGTTTTTCTCTGTATCACAAAGAATCTGTTAACAGTATAACTAGCTGCGCTACAGTAATCAATAGTTTTGGAAAGCAAGCGATGAACTAGACCGACGTGAATTAATTTCGTTTTATGATAGTTACATATAAGCTGTGAGCTTTGATCGTTGAATTAGGATAAGTTTCTGGCTGGAATGTTATCTTGAATGAAAATGAAATATTTCAAGAACAGTAGCAGTATGCAAATGCTATATGAGTTAATCTGTACAGTTCTGCAATATATATTTCATTATTAAACTCATAAGAAATGCAAAATGAGTTGTCAAAATTATTATAGTAAAGATGTAATTAAAGTAAAGGCCACGGAACTGAAATTATAGTGTAAGGCATCTAAAGATTTTCCATGTTATTATAATGCACTGATATTTACGATCCATAGAGTGTTAGAAAAAAAGAAGAAGACGAAAGAAATTAGGAACATAGCCTTATCCAATCATTACGTCTCTTTCTAAGCTCATTTCTGCAATCTAGAAGCAACTACCACATCAGCTTCAATAACAACGTTACCAACAACATCTACAACAACAACAACGTCACGTAAGTAATATGCTGGATGATTTGTAATAGCCTAAACGACGAATATCGTAAGTAGGGTACGAGTGGGCTGTGGAGAAGGGTGTACGTGTGGGTATACTTAGATTTGAGTGCGTGTGCGAGAATTAGAGACTAATGAAATACCTACAGTCATTCACACCGTTCCTCATCCAATCACATACACACTCCAGACCTACACCCCGTTTATTTATAAAGTAACCTTTTCCTTTTAACATTCAATGGTCGACAGAATACTTCATATACCGCAATTTGGAAAAAAATTGCACCGATCCGGTAGATAAAAACTTGTCTCTATAGGCCGCTACACTAGCCACTAAAAACTCTTCTGCGGGACTAACCCTGCTAATCGGCGAGACAGGTTACAACGCTTATTCAAACTAGGTGTTTTTTCTAGTCGATAATTGGGAATTAGTCTTTATGAACGGTTGGATGAATGATGAAAATCGCAATAAGTTGGCAACTTGTATTAATGTTCAAACATTGGAGGATTGCAAATTCAAATGCATGTCAATGAGAAATCGCAATGGATTGAACTTTAAATTCATTACTCAAACTTGCGAACTTAGACATTGCTCTAGTTTGGCAGGGTGGGTGTGGGTTTGGGTGTGAGGGTGTGGGCGGGTGTGGGTGCAGGTGGACGGCTGTGAGTGAGGGTGTGGTTTGAGTATATTAACAATAACACACACACACCCGTAATGATGAAAATTGCGAGGCGATATGTTCATGGATAAGTGGGAAATCCAATTTTTGTTGTTGTCAAAATGTCACAACATTATTTATATTTTTCTTTGTTATAGTACCAACTTGTACGGATGGTATTAAGAATCAGGATGAAACCGACGTCGATTGTGGTGGCTCAACTTGTACAAAACGATGTTCGCTTGAGCAAGGTTGTTTATCGAATACGGACTGCACCACAGACAACTGCGATACAACAGCAAAGAAATGTCGAGGTATAGAAACCTTTAGTAATTTCTTCTGCTTTCTGTAATGATGGTCGATTCTTGCATAAGACATCAGATGTAAGCCATCCACTGAGTAGTTAAATAGAAGTCGTCATTTTTGCGTTTGGTATGTGTCTAAATTCAAAGTGTTAATTCAAAATGAGACAGTGCATCCTTTAAAACAATCCTATAGGGAATATCATCGTGAAATTAAAGAATTTGTGAGAGAATTATCAAGTTTAAAAGACTATTTTGAACGCATACTAAAAGTAATGTCCGCAAATATTAGTTTATGTGTGGGTGACTATGGGTACTATTCTCATATCACTATATAGACAATTGCTCTTCGTATAAAACAGAAAGCGAGAACTCAAAAGAGAATGATAAACGATCGATATCATGCAGAGATCATGTATCTTGATAAATACAACAATTGTAGTGTAGTCATTGGGATGAGAAATACGATTATTGTATGATAATTAATCGATGCATCCAAAACAGTCAATTACTTAAATGATCTTTCATTCGCAACGTTCTCACTAGAATTTACAAAAGCTTTATATTTCTCTCAGTTATTTTTATTTCAAGTTCACAATGTTCGATTAGTTAGGACACTTTGAGCTGGAAATCATTGCTTACTATCTAATTATGATGCTCCTAGAGTGTTCATCATTGTTTCGATGGTGAATTCTCTTATTTGATACTGAATTACAATAGTTTATCGTTTTACAGGGGCTTGGGTCAAAATTGCATCCGACAGTGCTATGCTGGCATATTGCACAGGACTTGGATACGAATCGTCGGCAACATTGAGTGATTGTGAGAGTTATTGTCTGTCTACAAGTGGCTGTAACGCAGTCGATTGGCATGCAGGTAAATCAGGATGCACACCCCGTCAATGTAGCTACTATCCGCCAAAGTATGCAAGCCATAGTGGCTGGGAAGTATGGGCCATAACAACAGAAACATTAACGACAACTAATTGTAAGTAATTTATTAAATCGTGGGTGCATGATATGTCTCTTTGAAAAAGAGTGGCTTCATGAGGCACTGAAAAGCGAATTATGGAGCTCGAAGTCAGAAACGAAATAGAGTGAAATATTGTTTGTTGAAGTTTGTTTTCGATAGTGTTTATTGGAGGCGAATAGGCGTAGATGATATGAGAGTACTACCTTCTCAAACGATTAGGTTAACATATGAGACCGAACAGTAGTATAAAGTAGTAGAAACTACTACAGTTCATTAACTGAAACATCTTGTTAAATATTACTATACTAGTGTGTACAGTTTCTTAGTATTCTCGTTTCATTAGAGATAATTTATCTTCGTATAAAACATAAAGCGAGAACATAAAAGAAATGAATAAACGATCTATACCATACAGAGTCATGTAGCTTTCAAAAAATCAATTATCGTAGTGCAGTTGTTAGAATGAGAAGTACGATTGTTGTACGATAATTAAAGGATGAATCCAAAACAGTCAGTTAGTGGAATAATGTTTGATCTTCTATCTTCGCATTAGACTTTACACAAGTTCTATGTTTCCATCAATCACTTTCATTTTAAGATCCACTATGTTCGACTAGTTTTTCGAGGATTAGTTAGTAGAGTTTGAGAGGAAAATATTTGCTTTCTATCTAAATTATGATACTGTTGAGGCGCTCACCATGGTTTCGAGGATGAATTTTGTTAATTAGTATTGAATTGCAATAATTTATTGTTTTGTAGTGGTTTGGATCAAAGTTGCATCCGAAGGTCTTATGGGTGATGTAAATTGTGCGGAAGTTGGCTCCGATGAGTCGGTAATATGGAGCTTATGTGAGAGTGCTTGTCTGGCTCTCAGTAGTTGCAATGCGATCGATTTTAATTACGGTGGTACACAATGCACGTACCGTCATTGTACGACCTATCCTCCAAATTATCGAAGTGCAAGTGGGTGGGACGTATGGGCGATAACAACAGGAACATCAACTACAACAAACACAACTATCCATGTAGCCGAATAATTGGAAATAATGCAAAAATGACTAATTGACTTCTATTATTTCGTAAAAAACCATTTTTCGGTGGATTTAATGCATTATTTCTCAGTTTTTCTCTATTTCTAATGCATTATAATTCATTTTCTCGAAATAATGCAGAAATGTTGTTTAATTTCTTAATTTCTAATGAGTTTTAATGCATTATATATGTTGGAAATATCCAATATATCTAGTGATATACATATTGGTATATTTCCCTCTGATCATGTTGGAACATTCCCTGTATTTTTCTATCATATATACACATGGTTCTTTCCTTTCCTTTCTATCTAGGTATGGGATCATTCCCTATCGTGATCCTATATATATGTATACGCATACACACGTGTAGTGTCGTATTCATCCGTTCTCTCTCATCTCTACATCTTGTTCTCTCTATCGTTCATTTTCTTGTTGTTCTTCAATAAACATTGAACTCACGGTTCACACAAACTTACAATATAGAAATAATGTAGAAATATCAAATAGTCTAATAAAATTTAATGAGTTGTAATGCATTATTTAGAATAATGTGGAAATGTTCTTTAATTTCTTAGTTTCTAATGGATTTTAATTCATTTTTTAGAATACTCGAGACATGTCTTTTCATCCTTTTCGTTTTAATGGACTTGAATAGTTTATATTGCAATAATGTATAAATATCTTATAGTTCACTGTTTTCCGAAGAGAAAAATCTTATTCAACGTCCTCTCTATAAGTTATTAAAATAAAGGATTTTCTTTTTCACTCTTTATACTTAAAAAGGTTTTCCTTTCATTCTTTTTTTGTGTTCTCTTTTACACTTTTGATTGATAGAAAGGGTTTATTCTAATTCTAATTTTTCTATAGTAGTTAGTCTTAAATCGTCATTATTTTTATTGATACACATTTTCCATTTACAAAACTTTCTTTTCTGCCCGTCGTTTCTTCGAAAAAGTTTCTGGTTTTCATATAACAAAAGTTAAAATATTATTATTTACAAATATTAACTGAACCACACTTTGGCTTCATAACAGCGACATGTTAACCGTAACCGTAAGTTATATATTTTAGAGATAAAAAATATTAACATTCTACTTTTCTAATTTAGATTCGTATTTTCATTGCAAATATATATATAGTAAGGTATAAGTCTTAAAAATATAAATAAATAATGTTCTACTTTTTCTGTTTATATTAATACTTTTCGTTCAATATGCGTACATACGTGGTAAGTTAAATATTTTGGAAATAAAAAATATTAATATTCGTTTTTCTTTACATAGATTCGTACGTTCATTACAATATGTATATACGTATATAGTATACTCTAAGAAAAATCAGTTTCCAAGAAAACCAAACGAGCTCAGAAGCCATCTAGAAAACACAAAAAGGCTTGCCAAAAGGTTTCCAAATTTTTTATGGTTTTTTCAAAATACCTTTTAGGTTTCCGAAATTTATGTATCTAAGAAGGGTATTGTAGAAAACCTATATTGGTTTCCGAAGTTAACGAAATGTTTTCACCGTAAGTTAACCTGGCGAACACTATTTCAGAAAAAGTACTTAATGCTGAAATATTCTTTTCTACTCTTTATTTTTCTGAACTTTGAAAGATTTTCATTTCTTTCTTTTTCATATCCTTTTTAACGTCTCTGATTGATAGAGAAGCTTTATTCTAATTGTAGTTTTCCGATAGTAGTCAATCATAAAAACATAAGTATTCTTTATTGACACACACTTTTCATTCGAAAAACGTTTTTTTCCCGTCATCATTTCTTTTAATAAAAACTTCTTGAGGGTGTGGGTGTGGGTCTTGCTGTGAATATGATACCTATACCCACACCCATCCTGGTCTAAAAATACATAATCAACTGGAGCTAAAAACTAAAAAACGTAAAAATCATAACAGAGAGAAGAGAAAAACGATCAAAGAAAAGTATATATATATAAACAACTGGAACAATGATGATAGAATAGTGATACATGAATGTTAGGAAACGACAGATAGCGTACCCTAATAATCGATAATTAAAGCGTCGGCACGTAATTTACAGAAATCAGAAGAGAAACATTCATTGAAAGTAATTTTACAACAAGTGCATTGATTACACCATAACAAAATATTTTAACTTTATCGATTGAATTCTTACCAAACGATAGAAAATGCCGTTTTTTTAAAGAAAGTATTCAACATTTCATAATGTCAGTCTCATATGTATCTGACAGTCTCACTATGATGTTTTCTTCTTTGTTCTCGTGTACATCCCAATATAGAACAAAAGAAATAATTGATATACTATTGTTACTTAGAACTATGTTAATTTAATTATAATTATTCATCATATGATGAACAATTTTGAAAGGATAATAAAACTATGACTTTAGTTGATTTTATTGAATGTGACATGATTTTGTACAATTCTAATTCTATTGTTTGTGTATTCATTTTCCATAGATTTGATAGTGTTTCGATGATATTCATATTATTAAATAGTATTTCATGAAGATTTATTCGGAAGATCAACAACTACACTTTTATTATCATTTACCAAATCTATGAAACTAAAGAATAAAATCAATTGTGCAATACATTCTTGATAACAGATATTGTCGATATATTTTCTCTTTCAACTAAATATAAAATAACAAAAACATTTTGTTGTCAAAAACCTTTCATTTTATTGTTTAGGAAGTGTTGTATTTCCTTTGTAAAGACATGATTTGCGATGTATTCTTAACAAGAATAACATTATGTTTTGTTTGAAACACTTTGTTTTCACATCCTTCCTACAAACATTTCAATATCATGAACATTTTTTTATATTTACAACAAATAATGCCTGACATTTCATATTAGTTTTGGAAAAGGAAACAGATTTATTGTTTTTATTAGTTGTGAAATTCAAATGTTGTATTTGTTGCAAATATTCAAAAAAAGAAAAATTTCCAATGACGTCATTAGATAGGCGAATGGAGAAAAAAGTAAACTTTTTGTTTTTCTCTTGTTCAGTTTTGAGCAAAATCTAGAGAAGAGTTTTTCTATGACTCAAGTTAATTTTCACAGTTAATGGTTGAAGAATGTAACTAAAAAGAAACAACTTGTTTTTGTTCCATTCGATAGCAGTCATAGATCAATAACAGATAAGAAGATCATTTTTTCATAATAGTATTAATCATTAGAAATCAAATGAAATTCTTGTGAGTTTTATTTATTTCATAGTTTTCTCATTATATTTACTGAAATCATCAACTATATTCAATATTCTTTAAATTATTCAACACCGAAAAAAGGATTCTCAAATGATGTCTTTCACTTTGTTTTTTATGTATTTGTCTCATTTAAAATAAAAATAATAATGAGTGAATAATTATGATGCTCACTGTATATAATCGTCTTGATATAAAATATTTCTGACAAAATATCATATGGTGATGGAAACAATATCATCATTTTCTTTTTTCAGATGAATTTTGAATAAAATATTATTTATTGTAAATATCAAACTCTACGAGATAACATGTGAAAGTAAATTATATAGTTCAAATAACAATTCATATGATTATTTCTAGAAAAAGAAAAACATTAAAAATCAGCACTTTTTGAAGGAAATGCAAAGTTTCCTGACAGAAAAAAATGTATTTTATTTTTATTCATTCATTTGAAAGCTTATAGAGTTAAGCTATAACTACGTTGTTAATTATGAAACTATTATCGATAAAATACTTTAGTAATAGATTGAGATGAATATAAAATATTTTGATGATGTATGGGAAGGAATGAGAATGATGATGAATTGACACTAGGATAAGACAAAATAGTGGACTTCAAGGTTTGATGATATTGTACAAGACTTGACGAGTGATATAACTGCTGTTTCCTTTATATTTACTTTCTCTAGATAAATATTCAATGACAAATTAAGAAACAAATGTGAAATTTTGTTTCTCCAATGAGAAAAGTGATTAAAAGAATGTAAATAGCTTTTCATAGTATGGAATATAACATCCACAATCGCCAACAGTCACATCTAAATGTAATTATTTAAAGAATCTACGCAATTTGTATGACTGTGATTGTAATTAGAATCATAGTTATAGCTCTCTCTCTATTGACTAGTCATATCTAGTAGATTATAACTAAATAAAGATCAAATACTAATCATTTTTGTTTTCTTGAATGTTTTATTTCGATTTCTAAGTAAATCTATGATTATCATAATCATTTATCTATTCTGTGGGATAATTATTGTATACGATAAAATCAAATTAAAATCCATTTCTAACCATAAATATTGTCTAATTCTCAATTCATTTAGAAGAATCTTGTGTATAGTAGAATATTTTCACGTCATTTTTTTTCTCTGTAAGGAAACGTTGTATATCCTTTGGATAGCGCTGATTTTCAATGTTTATTAACTAATAATTACACTAAATGTTGTCTCAAACAGTTTCATATTTATAAAAGAGATAACAACTCTATCTGGCAAGAGTTGTTTTTTTTTGAAAATCAACATTGAAACAGAGGAAGTGAGCTGATTGTTTTTATTGATATATGATATTTTACATTAACACGACGATCTGCGTGAGAAAAAAAAGAACTGATTATTGTAAGAAAGAAAAAGAGAGAGAGAGCATGATAAATTTTTTTTTGTATTATTTTAACAATTTTCTAGTTGAAATTGGAATGAAAAACGTCTAAGTGAGAAAAACAATATCTAAGTCTGTTTTTTATGTCACCAGGTTAGTCGGTAAGGAATATTAGATACTACTTGAAATATAGATTTTCGCAATTAATGAGAAACTTAGATGATTCTTTGAGAAAAGATTTGCGAATAAACAGTTAAGTCTCTTTGTACTTATATTACTAATGAATGAAAATCTATAAATGCGAAAATGTTTTTGTTGATTTTAGATTATAAAAGTATTAAACTTTCAACAAGATACCAACAATGAACAATAACAACAGAGTAGGAGTTTCTAGTGATGTAGTTTATTGAGAGAAAGAAAAAACATAAACTTAATATTAGTCTTTCATGATTATTTTAGTCTGAAACAGTTACCTCGAATGCAACTCAACCAAAAAACAAATTGTATGTACCTCATGAATTGTAGACAATGATAAAAAAGATCTATTATTCTAGGTGTGAATATCTGAAAAGACGAAAAGTGATGTGGATCATATTTATTATTATTGTTATTGTTTTAATTATAATGATTCCAATTGTTATCATTAAAACAAAAAAGGCAAACAGTGAAAAAACATCAACAAAAGAAGAAGGAACAATTGAAATAACAGAAGAAATGGAAGTAACAACAGGTAGTTAAATGAGATAATTATTTATTTTGAAGTTAATATACGATAAATTATTTGAAAAATGACAGAAGTAGAACTTTATTATTTATCAGAAGAACTTATACATGATACTTCTAAGCAACGATATCGAAAGCGTTTCTGAGATCCATAATGAAGTTTTTAGCATCTAAAAGAATATTTGTTAAAAGTCAGTCTCTGAAAAATCAAATATCAGTGATAATTCGACTAGATCACTTCTTTCTACACAAGTAAATACAACACAAGCGGAATTTTCGATATCTGTCAATATCAGTTTTTTTCAATTTTCCAGCGATTTTGACCAAGTATCTTTGAATAAAGGTGACTTTTAGATATGAATCCCTTTAAAAGCTTTGATCAATGTATAAGAACCTCTAAAATATCGATCCTTCGCATTTTATGAGGCAACGAGCAATCACTCTAATATTTCTGCTGGTGATAGAGGACATCAAGACCTATATCACCTAAGAGATTCATGTGATAGTAATTTCCGATATAGCCGAAAAGTCAAATCAAGTGACTATAGGATAAATTTGTTGAAAATCTAATTAAATACGTTTAAGGATAATCATAGAACTCTCTTCTAATTAAAAGAAATATAGAATTAAAGTTGAAGTATAAGCTTGGATTGGGTTAAGTTGAGTAAAAGTAAATATCTATATGTATATTATACATATAGATATATATTCTGACTTGACTTGGCTCAATCCAGCCCAACTAGACACATATCAAACCCAAACCGTCTAAGATTTGAGTTTCGGTATGGGCTTGGATTAGATATCGAAGCTGAGCATGAACTAAATCCAAATTGTTTTGCTTTTTGTGAGTTTGAGTTTGAGTATTGAGTTTAGCTTTGGATCTGACTCAGCTGTCGAAAGTTTCGATGCCTAAGCCACAACCATATCTAGACTCAAACTCAGCTAATTCGGTTTAGGCCATGTCTAAACCCAACTCGGCCCATCTCAATCCATCCTAGCTCGATCCGACTCGAAATTGAATCATGTATTTTATATATACAGATAGATATATATTCTTGTTGACTTGACTTCATCCACACCCACATCCTTTATCATCTCATTGGAATGAAAATCTACAAAGTTTTCTCACCATACGCCTTATTTAGTAATTTCAATTATTTCCAAAAGATATCGAGTCTCCTAACAAATAAAATTAAAGAAAAAAACATCTGACTAAAGCCATCGCCCGGAAGCAAACCTTTTGAGTCAAACTGTGTGTTTCGAGGCTTATTTTTCGAATTCTACTTTAAAAGATTCTAGTAAACGCGATCTCTATGGGACTTGAAACGGCCCTATTCAAACTAAGGAATCAATACTTGTAAAAATAACAGAAAAATACAGAGAATTATTTGATGAAATAAAATTGGCATTGATATCTTTCAAAAAGAATTTGATCGATATTGTATATAAATTTACAGTGCATTGTCCAAGATCTTAGACAATAAATAAGAAACAATAAGAAAATATACACTATTTTGTTTTATGGAGATGATGACCAAAACTAGTTTGAAAAAGAAATGAAGCTATTCTGGAAGCTCTGCGTACGACCCATGAGCGTCATCTTGAAGTTTTTCTCTGTATCACAAAAGATCTCGTAACAGTGTAAGTATGCTGCATTGCAATAATCAATAGTTATACATAAGCTGTGAGCTTTGACCATTGAATTGGGATAAGTTTCTGGACGGAATGTCATCTTGAATGAAAATGAAATATTTCAAGAACAGTAGCAGTATGCAAATGTTATATGAGCTAATCTCTATACTTCTGTAAATGTTTCATTATTAAACTTGTAAGAAATGTAAATTTAGTTGCCAAAATTATTTTAGTAGAGATGTAATTGAAGTAAAGATCATAGAATTGCAATTATAATGTTAGGCATCTAAAGATTTTCTATGTTATTATAATGCACTCATAGTTACGGTCGATAGATTGTTAGAGAAGAAGACGACGAAATAAATTAGGAATAAAGCCATATCCAATCATTAAGTCTTTTTCTCAACTCATATTTGTAATCCAGAATCAACTATCACATCAACTTCAACAACAACAACGTTACCAACAACATCAACATCAACAGCAACGTCAGGTTAGTAATATGCTGGATGATTTGTAATAGCCTAAACGACGAATATCACAAATAGGGTGCGAGTGGGATGTGGAGAAGGGTGTAGGTGTGGGTATAGTTAGATTTGAGTGCCTGTACAGAAATTAGAGACTAATGAAATACTCACACTCATCCACGTCGACTCTCATCCAATTACATACACACCCTAAACCCACACTCACACTGATACTACGTTTATTTCTAAAGTAACCTTTCCTTAACATTCAATAGCCGACAGAACACTTCATACACCACAATTCGGAAAAATCTGCATCGATCCGGTAGATAAAAACTTGTCTCTATAGGACACTACACTAGCCACTAAAAACTCCTATACGAGACCGACCCTGTTAATCGGCGAGACAAGTTACAGCTCTGACTCAAACTAGGTATTTTTCTATTTTCAGTATACTACAATTTGTTCTTTTCTAGTTGATAACTGGAAATTAGTCATGACGAACGGTTGGATTAATGATGAAAATTGCAATAAGTTAACAACCTATATGAAGGTCCAGACATTGAAGGATTGCAAATTCAAATGCATGTCAACGAGAAATTGCAATGGATTGAACTTTAAATTCATTATTAAAACTTGCGAACTTAGACATTGCTCTAGTTTGACACCAGTCACGACAAAGGACGAGAATTGGGAAGGATATATATTGATGAAGAACAGTAAGTTATGAGAGTGTATATCGAAGAAACTAAATTGATATCTTAAACATGTATGTCACTAAATGTCAGGTTTTCAAGGAATATCTTTCGAAAGATGCGAAACTCTATCATCGTCGAGAGAAACAATGAAATATACTATTTTGCCATCCACATAGAAAGAAATATTCAGACTTTGAGATCCTTCAGAACTCGGTGTAGATGAAAAGGGTTATTGTGTTGCTCAGTAGAAAAAATATCAATCAGATGATTCTAATAGAAAAGAAACAAAGAGGACGCTACGACAAGAAAATATTTGTAAACAAACCAATTTCCTTCATAGAAGCGAAGCCCAAATAGTGAGTGGTGTACTATTAATCGTTAAGCTATAAGTTAGAAAGTAGACTGGTAGTGAGATCAAATTTTGTGTTACTTAGTAGAACATTGGTTGTTGTTACACTTTTTCATCGTTTGACATCCCTTTTGAGGAGAAGGTGAGCTATTAGTTCTTCTGGAGGGTGTGGGTGTGTGGGTCACTATTTAATTTTTTCTTTTCCAACCACACCCACATCGGGCCACACCCTCGGCTGGTATATTTCCGGTATTTTATCGATCAAATTTCTATTTTTTACTGATGGAAGATTGAATCCCTACGGGCACTTGTATTTAAGAAACTGACCATTTTTGAATTTATTACTGATAATTTTGATACTGATCATTCAATATTTATACTGACTATTTCAGTTTTTTTCCTGATTGTTACAACTATTATAGCGATTATTTACATGGCAGCCTTTAAAAATCTAGTATGTTCGACTAGTTTCTCGACGATTAGTTAGTACACTTTGAGATGCAAATATTTGTTTTCTATCTTAATTAAGATGCTACTGGAGGGTTTATCATTGTTTAAATAGTGAATTTTATTATTTGCTATTGAATTGCAAAAATTTATTGTTTTTCAGTGGTTTGGGTCAAAATTGCATCAGACAGTGTGATTGGTGATCAAAACTGTGCGTCAGGTGGATACGTCCCATCGGCAACATTGAGTGACTGTGAGAGCGGTTGTCTGTCTGTTAGTGGTTGTACAGCAGTCGATTGGAATATAAATGGTGCAGGATGTTCATATCGTCAATGTACTACCTATCCGCCGAATTATTTAGGCCAAAGTGACTGGGAAATATGGGCGATAGGAACAGGAACATCAGCAACAACAACAATATCAGTGCCAGGTTAATAATATGCTTAGTGATGTATAATAGCTTAAACGAGGAGTATCTCAAGTAACCAAATCTAAAAGTTTTGATTTTAACTGTCCGATGTTCCTCATCTAGATATAGAACTTTGTGTGAAGGCTAGAAATAAGATCAATTTTTGATGAGTTGATTCCATTTACAGTTAGTCAAATATTAGATATGCTAGTCGATTTCGACGGTATCATGCAAATATGTTGTCGATAAAGATACTCTCACATGGTAGAACTCAGTGATCACTTCAGGAACTCCTCATTACATCAGAAAAAGTTGATAATGATGGATACTATGGCTAAATAAAGTTAAATAACGTCATTGCTTGTGAATATAGCATAGGGGATAGTTGAAAATATCCATCGAAATGAAATGAGATGTGCCTTCTATCTATGAACCTAATGTTATAAGTACTATAATGCATCAACAAGATCATCTAAGAAATGTAATATTTATTGAGTCATTTTTGTAGATTTATGTCCAGTGCTATTTGTAGGTAGTACTATTTCTCTTAGTACATTGCCAGCACGAATCTATTACAAATACTATCTCTACCAATTAATCCAAATGATAGTGCACTAATCATTCTGTGTGAATGATCGATTTCATTCAATCTAAAGAAATACTCTGTTGTTGTTCATTACTCACATTAAAATTTAGACAAACTCGCATACTAAACATTTCTAGTTAATAAAAGTTGCAAGATAGGTAACACATAGAAAACAATCGGAAAATATTAAGTTGGGATTCTTTGAGAATAGGAGTGAATCCAAGAAAAATCCACCTTTATAACTGAAATACTAGGTTTTAATCTATATTTATTCATGATATGGTTAGTTTTAATCTGATTTATTGGAATGATTATACACGTAGAAGTATCAGTTGATGTGACATTCTTATGAGACATACATATGAACACGAAATCTCATGTTTTAGGTGGTATTTATATAGAATCGAGGTGTTTAAAAGAAATCCTAGTTGGATAAAATACTAACTTGACATAGGAGAAACACATCTTTTATAAACAACATCTGTTTTTGCCTTCCAGAGGAACGAGAATAATTGAGTTAAGCAACGATTTTAAATATTTATTTAAAGATCTGTAATTCAATCGAAGATGACGTCATATTTTATCGACATATTCAGTTTTCCAGTAGAACATAGTAGCATACGGATTTGAAAAGAATGTATGTATTAATATTGTCTTTTTATTTTTCTTTTGCAGCAGTCGTATTTCCTAATGGACGTTATAGTTTCTGGCCGATGGAAAACAATGCCTTTGATGTGATATCAGGTCTTAGTGGAACAGGTGTCAACTCACCTACTTATGAAACACCTGGCATCACCGGTACTGGATATGCTCTGAAACTCATCCGTAGCAGTCATCAGTATATAACAATACCAATCTATAAAAGCTTCGTTAATACCAGTTTCACAGTGGAAATGTGGATTCATCTTACTTCTCTAGATGTTAACTATCATGCACTTTTTACTCAACGTGATACGGAATCACAAGATCACTATTTACACCTGGTGATTGAAAACTTTCAGCTGAACATGGAGTTTTATAGCGATGGAGTTAAAGGTACGACTTCACTGACAGCAAACGCTTGGTATCACGTAGCTTTTGTCTACGACTATTCATCAAAAACACAAACTATTTACTTGAATGGAAACCAAGATGCCAGTCGTAGTTCAGCTGGGCCATATTTAGGCATGACTGGTTCGATAACTATGGGGCACTTGCCGAATATTGAGGGCAATACGAACTTTGATGGGTGAGAAAACATGTTTGAATCATTTTTTGTCTTTGTTCAAGTGAGTTAGAAATATATGGCTCTAGAGGCATTGTTTCTGCTATACCGAAGATCATATTTTTATTTTTTTATACTATTAGCTAAGCCATCGAGAATGAGCAAAAATCGTCGCATAATATTTATGTAGATTCGATCACTGGTATCTCTCATTAATCAGATCATTTACTAAATAGTATAAAACTTGATAGAAAACACTAGTCATCGTTTTATTTTTGTGATTGTATTTTATTCTTATATGTTTAGTTTAATCGATCAAGTGTCACTCACTATGGCAGCTAAAAGTGTTCATGACATTCTTAACGATGCTACTTTGGCCTCATGGCATTCATTCGATTGTGAAATTACTCATGATTCAGGTCCAAATAAACTCCAAGGGAAGGCTGTTGATGTCACACCAGCACTTGGTAAAGTGAATCAAGGATTACAGTTCAGCTTGAGTTCATCTTATTATCAGGTACGTTGTCGACTTAGTTGAGCTTTTCACTATTAATACTTTATGACAGAGAAAATCTGATACACAGAAGTTTATGTATTTTCCATACTAGAGCCTTACCACTTAAAAACTGAATCTTCTCCCCAAAAGACATTTGAATAATTGTAATAAAAACCATGATAAAGTCTCATATACAGAAACAAACATTTTCCTGGATAAAGACGATCTCGAAGAACATATCGAGACCAAAATAAAATTTTCAACTGACCAATATCCAGAACAAAAGATTCTTTATGATCAATGACTTTTTTAAAGTTTTGTTTTACTCGTATGTGCTACGTGCAGCCCTATTTCGTTTATGGAATATCCTTAACCATACTACCAAGGTATCTAATAACGTCATTCTGTAAATCTTTTAGCTAGTATAGTAGCAAATTATGCCATGAAGAAAAACTTTTTTGACATCAACGGTTATTTCTTTCTCAAGATAATGAATACCAAGAAAACACCGGTTTTAGCAAGTTATTGCAAAGTATGATCGTTTTTTCTGGGAATTAAATATCTCAACAAGAACGCATGCGATTCGAGTAAAACTTTCAAAACAAGTTAAGAGTTATGAAACCTATTCATAACCAAAATTTCAGATCAAAATTGCTATCTTGCGACATTTTACAAGTTCAGATATTCCTATCATAGGACAGTACATAACTCCGAAGGAAGAGTAATAGAATTCGTGTTTTACTTGGCATGAATATATGGAGGATCCATAATCTTTGTTTTTGTGGTTAGTTTCTTGTTGTTGTGAGTGGAAGACTTTTCGACTTTTAAGGATTAAATACATAGAATTAAAAGACAAAAATATTTTGTATCTCATGCAATAAGAGTGATCAAGACGAGCGAGCAAAGTAATATAGGTCATTTCATTGATTTAAAGGTAATTCAAAAACTGTTGACATATATTTCACAACTAATTTATATGTGTACATTTGCAAAATACTGTTGTGAAGATATCTCAAAAGAAAGAAATTATGTTTACTAGCATTTGTTGCCAAAACTATATCGTTAAATGAAGGCTTGTTAGAAGCTTCTAGAAAGTTTCTCTAATAAACTTATAACATATTATTTGCTGAAGAAAGTAGGATAAAGAAGCTTAAAAAACGTTCCAAACTATGAGACGGCCATACAATATATGATAATTATTTAGATACCCGGATATGTCCTTCTTGGAGTCGTAGACAGATCATTTTCAATGTCTCTATGGGTACAACGAACATCGATAGGTGGAGGAACTCTTGTTCATTACTCGTCACAAGTAGATGGAACAGGATGGTGTATTGCTCCAATGGGGTTTTCCTCTGCTGGCAATATAGTTGCCACTGTTTATAAACCAGACAACCATGTAACAGGTCCTGTTCTATCGGTGAACACGTGGACGCATATTGCCACTACCTATTCACAAAAAAATGGGCTTACATTGTATGTTAATGGAGCATCTGTTGGTAGTACAGGGGCACAGCCCAATGATGCATCGGGTGCAGTGGTTATTTTGACGTTAGGCAACTCATTAAGTGGTAGTAGTGGATGTGGTTTTCAGTCAATTACACCAGGTACATTTTCTGGCTATTTAGATGAGTTTCGTGTCTACTCACGAGAACTCAGTGCTACAGAGGTCTTTGCCCTCTTCGTAGATAAAACCTGTACTGATGGCCTTATGAATGGAGATGAAACAGACATCGATTGTGGAGGCTCATGTTTCAAATGTACTGTTGGTCAAAACTGCACATTGCCAAAAGATTGTAATAATGTTCAGTGTATCAACGACATCTGTGCAAGTAAGTGTGATACTACTTGAGAGAGTCTTTATTCAAAAGAGGTGATCCTTCTTCTTTGAATGGGGTGATGGCGTGGGTGTGGGTGCTAGGTGAATATCGTATCTAAACCCATACCCACACTCACACCCTCAAGATGTGAAATCTGGAAATAATGTTTATTATTGAGGGTGCGGATGCGAGTGAAAGATAAGAGATAGTACTGAGAAACTATAACCAGGGACTCATACCATATACTCGTAACGATAAACATTGCGAGCCGATATGTTCATAGATAAGTGGGGAATCCAAAAGTTTTGTTGCTGTCAAAATGTCACAACATTATGTATATTTTTCTTTGTTATAGTACCGACTTGTACGGATGGCATTAAGAATCAGGATGAAACCGACGTCGATTGTGGTGGCTCAGCTTGTACAAAAAGATGTTCGCTTGAGCAAGGTTGTTTATCGAATACGGACTGCACCACAGACAACTGCGATACAACAGCAAAGAAATGCTCAGGTATAGAAACTTCTAGTAATTTCTTCTGCTTTTTGTCAATGATGGTCGATTCTTACACGAGACATAAGATGTAAGCAATTCAGCGAGTAGTTAAATAGAAGTCGCCATTTTTGCGTTTGGTATGTCTCTAAATTCAAAGTGTTAATTCGACATGGAACAGTGCGTTTTTGAAAACAATCATATAGGGAATATCATCGTGAAATTAAAGAATTTGTGAGAGAAGGATCAAGTTTAGAAGATTATTTTGAAGGCATACCAAAAGTGATGTCCGCAAATATTAGTTTATGTATGGGTGGGTATGAGTACTATTCTCATATCACTATATAGACAATTGCTCTTCGTATAAAACAGAAAGCGAGAACTCAAAAGAGAATGATAAACGATCGATATCATGCAGAGATCATGTATACTGATAAATACAACAATGGTAGTGTAGTCGTTGGGATGAGAAATACGATTGTTGTATGATAATTAATCGATGCATCCAAAATAGTCAATTACTTAAATGATCTTTCATTCGCAACGTTCTCACTAGAGTTTACAAAAGCTTTATATTTCTCTCAGTTATTTTTATTTCAAGTTCACAATGTTCGATTAGTTAGGACACTTTGAGCTGGAAATCATTGCTTACTATCTAATTATGATGCTCCTAGAGTGTTCATCATTGTTTCGATGGTGAATTCTCTTATTTGATACTGAATTACAATAGTTTATCGTTTTGCAGGGGCTTGGGTCAAAATTGCATCCGACAGTGCTATGGTGGCATATTGCAGAGGACTTGGATCCGAATTGTCGGCAACATTGAGTGATTGTGAGAGTTACTGTCTATCTATGAGTGGTTGTAACGCAGTCGATTGGCATGCAGGTGGTTCATTTGGATGCACCATCCGTCAATGTAGCTACTATCCGCCAAAGTATGCAAGCCATAGTGGCTGGGAAGTATGGGCCATAACAACAGGAACATCAATTACAACTACTTGTAAGTAATTTATTAAATCGTGAGTGCATGGTATGTTTCTTTGAAAAAGAGTGGCTTCATGAGGTACTCGTTTCATTAGAGATAATTTGTCTTCGTATAAAACATAAAGCGAGAACATAAAAGAAATGGATAAACGATCTATAAAATACAGAGTCATGTAGCGTCAAAAATACAATTATCGTAGTGCAGTTGTTAGCATGAGAAATACGATTGTTGTACGATAATTAAAGAATGGATCTAAAACAGTCAGTTAGTGGAATAATGTTTGATCTTCTATCTTCGCATTAGACTTTACACAAGTTCTATGTTTCCATCAATCAGTTTCATTTTAAAATTCACTATGTTCGACTAGTTTTTCGAGGATTAGTTAGTAGAGTTTGAGAGGAAAATATTTGCTTTCTATCTAAATTATGATGCTGTTGAGGCGCTCACCATGGTGTCGAGGATGAATTCTGTTAATTAGTATTAAGTTGCAATAATTTATTGTTTTGTAGTGGTTTGGGTCAAAGTTGCATCCGAAGGTCTTATGGGTGATGTAAATTGTGCGGAAGTTGGCTCCGATGAGTCGGTAATATGGAGCTTATGTGAGAGTGCTTGTCTGGCTCTCAGTAGTTGTAATGCGATCGATTTTAGTTACGGGGGTACACGATGCACGTACCGTCATTGTACGACCTATCCTCCGAATTATCAAAGTGCAAGTGGGTGGGACGTATGGGCGATAACAACAGGAACATCAACTACAACAAACACAACTATGACTACAACAGTAAATCCATGTAAGTAAGAGAATATGTTGCACGATTTTGGTAAACTCATCATTAAAATCCATTAATTTTAGTAGTTTATACAAATCTTTGATTAAGTTCACTGTGTGTCATTTCCGATAGCAGTCGAACGAATCTCATATAATAATAAACTGAGAAAATCATATTCCATGCGATTATTAGAATTTAGTGTTTCATCCAAGGGGGAACAAACTGATTTCCTGATTTCTTGATTTCTAATTTCATTTTCGTGATTTCCCTTGATTTCTCATGATTTCCTTTGATTTCTTGAGATTTCTAGTATGGAAATCAGTTGGGGATATGTGTGGGTGTGTGTGGGTGTGACAGGGTGGGTGTCCGTACCCCTGTAGATACTGTATTCATCTGACACCCACACCCTACTTTTCTAATTATGCAGCGTTTGGGTTTTCGATATTTTTAACTTTCGACATTTTTATTTTCGGCGTTATTAAGGGGAATCAGGAAGCAGAGCGCAAGAAGTTTGAAAAAGTTGATTAATGAGGACTTTCACAGAATTTTATAGATTAACTGCTCTGAATTATGAGAGTGTAAAACTGATGTCATCGACTATTGTCTCTGAGTCATATGTTATAAATAATCGAACGAACAGTAAAAATAGTGTACGACACTAAGTACACATATTAGAGAGTAAGAAGAGAATGTAACTAGAAGAGGATAACAGATAGAATATGAGTATTCCACATTAATGACAAAGACATCATGATGGTGAAGAAAAAGTCATGTTACAATGTAGAAAGTGGAACCTAGTATTAAAAAATGTGTTTTTGCTCATATAATGCTTGTATAAAAGAAGTAAATGGCGCAACTTAAGTGTAAGTGTAACAAGAACTGAAGTTTCTCTTCCATTATTTACTTTTATATTGAATAATACATAAAGAGACAACTTGGTATTCTTTTCAGAAGTTACCGTGGAGATTTCATCATTTAGCATTTATTATAAAAGTGGAAAAAGATGAGGATTTATTGAAAATTTAGACAAAAAATTATAGTTTTCCATTGTTCATTTCGAGTCGGACATAGCATGAACAGTTTGTCGTTTACCTACTTTTCAAAATTAAATATCAATTAAATGTTGAGCTAAGTTTCTAATTTTGAAAGTGAAGATAAATGTACCGTACTTATCAAGACAATTATATATCGCATTTCTTCGTCGAGCACAGTCTTTCGTCGCGACAACACAAAAACAAAAGATATATTAGGTGAACAGACGTCTTTCTCACTATTCCATACTTGTATTTTACTTGAGTACGGTTAGTTAGTAGTATGACACTGTAGATTTTCAATATTAAAATATTGATAGAAATTCTGTAACACATTGAGCGATGAATGATGTTTATGAATATGTATCAATAAACGCTTCAATGTACTCTGATAACTGTACATGTATAATATATAGGAATCGAAGTACTTCATAGCAACTTGTTAAACGACAAAGAAAGATAGTTTTTTTTATTGCTTTTCTAGAATTAAATTGTAGCTCTTATCAATCGTGACTTTGATAGAGAATGGTATAAATCGCTAAGATCATTTACATTAACTTATGAATTACTTTCGAAATAATAAAATATCTGAGAGTATATTTATCTTATAGATCGAATTAGACATCTTATCCTATTTTCCACATTATCTTTGGCTGAGAACGTTGTCGAAATGGTATGATTCGACTGTTTGTGTTCTCTTCAAGATAAGAACTAAAAATGTTGCGCTAGATGTATATAGAGAACATTCTCTTCTATCTTCAATGTATATCAATTGGGATGTTTCATACGAAGTCTGTCTTGAAACTCTCATTACGGTGTATACCGTCTGGTAAAAACACCGATGCTTTACCAGAGGTATATTAGAAAAAGCTAGAAGCGATTTGTTCTCTTTATAAACGCAGTGAGAATCCCGAAAAAATTGTCGATTTTATCGCGATATATAAGCCAATTAATTGTGAGATCTATCGTGATTCATCGCCCAAAATTTGGCGATTTTGAAGACATGGGATCTCACAAGTGAAACATATATTTTCATACTTTCGTATATATCATTTAGTATGGACAACTGTGGGTCAAATGAGTAGTGCACGAGCGGCCCACACAGCATCTATATTATCAGATGGAACAGTGTTAGTTGCTGGCGGACAGGGTACTAGTAACAATGGGATACAGAGTGCTGAATTGTATAATCCAACAACAAAAACTTGGACAACTGTAGGTCAACTGACTAATGGACGATATTATCACACAGCATCCATATTATCAGATGGAACAGTGCTAGTTACCGGCGGAACGTTTGATGATAATAATGCTTTACAGAGTGTTGAATTGTATAATCCAACAACACAAACTTGGACAACTGTAGGCTCAATCAGTAATGGACGACAGTATCACACAGCATCCAGATTAACAGATGGAACAGTACTAGTTACTGGTGGATTTGCTGGTCCTCATAATGGTTTAAAGAGTGCTGAATTGTATAATCCAACAGCACAAACTTGGACAACTGTAGGTCAAATGAGTACTGCACGAGCGGCTCATACAGCATCCGTATTGGCAGATGGAACCGTGTTAGTTACCGGCGGAACACCTGATGGTAACAATGGTTTACAGAGTGCTGAATTGTATAATCCAACATCACAAACTTGGGCAACTGTGGGTCAGATGAGTAATGGACGATACTCTCACACAGCATCCAAATTATTAGATGGAACAGTGTTAGTTGCTGGTGGAAGGCCTGGTGGTTACACTGGTTTACAGAGTGCTGAATTGTATAATCCAACAACACAAACTTGGACAACTGTG